GCAGACTTTAATAGGTTTCATACTATTCATGTATTTCCTCCTGTTTTATCATCTTTTATCCTATCTAAATAATTCATAGTACTGAAAGGAGGTGATAGTATAAATGTATCTATTCTATAGGTGGAAAACTGTGTCAGTTGATGGAAACTTTCATTACAGCCAGGAAATAAATTATTGGGTACTTATCTAATGAATAATCACCATACTCACACCCTCTTCAAAGCAGGCATACCTGTCACTAAGCTTTTACTAATTTTTAAGTAACTAAGAAGTGTAGTACATCTATCTTAGCACTCATTCTTTGTCATATATTTGACACTTCCTTCGGAAAATTGGGGTTACTTTTCTCCGTATGAAACAATTTGAGCGAAAAGCCTGTGTTTTTCATATTGGCTCCTTGCCAGACCTGTTCTAAGATGCCCAGAATGCCAGCTGTAACGCTGAGCACAGCTCCTGTTGTCCTGTTCCATCCGTATGGGAGAAGGGTGACGTTGTGCTTCTACTATTAATTGGAATCTGATACATTAACTCATCAAGCACTGCAAGCCTTAAATAATTGAGTGACTGGGTAGTACTTGTCTGCCAGATGACAAGGAACACGAATGTGTGTGTGTGCACACGTGCACATGTATAAATAAAAAAAATATCATGCCCCAAGTATCCTCCTCTGCTTTGTGCATGTCCCATAGCCAAGCTGGGGGCTGCCCACGCTTGGTCCTTTATGTCTTCACAGGGGAGATCAACTCTTCCGAATGAGCAGCTGCAAATTACTTCTCCAGCCTTGTAGGAAGTCAGATTGTTACTGAATCCTAAGGGCAATGCACACACAGCCATCTGCAAAGATAATTTCCTCAGAAACTTAGTTTCCCAAGTCAAAGAACTTGGAGTTAACATTTCTCCCACATTTTAAATGATCAGTTTCATATATTCTCAAATACCTGATCACAGGCTGCAGCAGTGGTGCAGGTCCCACAGGTGACAGGGTAGTTGTTGGACTGCTTTCTGATGAAGCAGCATATCAGAAGCGTGAGGGTTGGAGCAGAGAGTGGATGTTACAGCCAATAAAGATTAGTAAAACAATCTTTCTGAAGTAGCATTACCCTTTTTTATATATTCACACTTTCAAGAACAAAATTCTAATTAACTTGTTTTAGAGGGTCAACTTGATTTGCATTTTATGTAAACTTCAGGGAAAAAAGCAGGCCTGATTCCTTCTTTTTCAGAAACAAGCAGAGAGTTCTAACAGGTCAGTATATAGACCTTCACATGGAAGGTGTTGAACTGCTTAAAGATAAAATGCCTCAAAGAAAAAAGAGAGTATAGAGTGTAGCTGAGCTATTCAGTAAGAGAACAGAAACCGGAATCTTAAGTAACCATGTATAATATTGCACAAGCTCTCTTTGTGCCTCGTTGCCAGCACCAAGGCTCCAAGACCAAGGAGTGTCTTTGAGCCCAAGTTTCAGGTTCTGGGAGCCCAAGGGAAAGGCTGTAATAGGGAGCTGAAGGAGTTAAAACCTGTATTTTTATTATTCTTCAGAAGTACTCTGCTCAGCAATAGGAGGAAAGGCTCATGGCACAAAAATTCTAGCTTCACAACCTAATCCTCAAATGAATCAGACTGAGACTCCCGCTAATATAACATCGGAGAGTAACTGAGGTTAGGGAAATGCTGCCAGTAACTAGCATTCTTCCTGGCCAACCAGGTCTCCAATCATTGCCAGCCAGCAAAAATATAAGTGGCCACAGAACCAAGCGAGTGACGGAGTCACAAGATGATGTAGGAAGTGGCCAGTCACATTGATTTTGTACTGTAGCATCTGACAAAGTAGTGACTAAAATATATTGAAAAATACATACTTTCAGAGATCTTAGTAAAGAAATAAAGATGGAAACTATGCAACAAATGATGCACTTGTAACCCTTTCAGCTGAATTCCTTACTTCAACTGCCTACAGTAAATATATGTAATACAGTGCCTCTTTGTTGTAAATCCATCAGTGTTGAAAAAATGTTCTATTCAATGCTGGTAAGAGGAGGAAAATAAATAAGTTTATTTTACCTAAGAAATAAGTAGCCCTAAGAGTGGACACCAGCTGAACTAAAACTAAACTGCAACTGTCAACTTGTTAACTACTCAATGTAGTATTACTTAAAATTTGTTAAAATCTGCAGTATTAGCATCTAAAATGATAAATTTGGTTACATTAGTTCTGTAAACTTCATCTTCTGCATACTTAGCCTAAACCATTCTCTTTCTCCCTTCACAACTTGATTCCTTTGGATAGTTTCTTAGGAATGAAATTGTGAGAATACTTCAAATATCAAATACTTCAATGCTTTCAACACTGCTAATGTAAACAAGTTATATAAGATAGCTCTTGTTATAAACTTCAACATAGTTTAAGATAAAATCACTGTCAGACAGTCGCTTTTCTCATTCTATGTACTTACACCCTGTTGTAATGCTGTTGTCATGGCTGCTTTCGTCAACTGAATAAAAATAGCATTTCAGTTGTCCCTGGGATCTGTTAAAAGGAAGTAGAGGTGCACTTGGTCTATAAAATTAATTCAGCTTAGCTTGGGTCACTTAACTGCTTACAGCACAAACCACACCATCCATCTCTCATCATCACTGCTTCCATGCTCTTCAGGACTTAAGGAACTCCTCCTGTCTAATGCGCTTCATTATACATTCATGGTCCTTCAAAAGTGAAGTAATACTGAGATAAGACAATAAAGTGAATGGCAATCAAGGGAGACAGACTACAGCTTGTTTTTATTTCATTAGACAACTGAAGTTCTCCCTTATTGCTCATTTTGCAGTAATGGCTTATTATAGTTTTGCAAATAAATGCAGGAAAAAACTTCAGAAATCTTTAATCTATTATTCTCCTTTAAATTATTAGTTTTAGTTCTATTAAAACATAACATCTGCAACTGTGGATTTATTATGTAATTCTCCCACTACATTCAACAGCTTAACCATACTTAATATGATACTTAATACCGATACTTAATCAGCTGTGTGGATCTCTCTTTTGTTTTTCAGGATAGGTAACAGAAGTCAGAAGGACAAAAGAATAATTACCAGGTTCAAATTTTGGCTAAGCAGACTTTGCCACTGAAATACAAGAATCTGTGTTTCTCAGTACAGGCAGGAAACTGGAAGTTTTTGGCAGTTTCTGTCTGCTGACATCCAAGATAAAAAGGAACAGAGATTAAAAAGTCATAAGAGTGTTTCCTTTTGTCAGATATCTATATAAACTTTACACAGGTGCAGTTCAACTGTTTAAGATATTCTACCACCACCATCTCCTACTTTCCTTTCCATATTAGTTGAGGTTAGAATAGCGTAATGTTTCTGGCTTCTACATTTGTTTGTATTCCATTCCAAACAACCAACTCACCCTTAATAATAGTTTTTGAAAATTACTGTGGACAGCCCTAGTCACCTACATAAACTGGCAACCATCAGGCTGTTCCTCCAGCCCTTCTTTGCAGTCAGGAGAGGGTGCAGCTCTTATTCCATTCCTTCCCAAACTCAGCTATTACTGTAAGTTATTATCACAGACTTGTACTTCAGACCTAGTTTAAGAATTTACAGACTATCCAGGCATTTTATTCACTGCTCTGTAAAGAAAGTACGTAAATCTAGGTAAGTGTGCAGGTGGAGGCTTCCCTCTTGCCAAAGGCAGGTCAGCAAGTCATTCTTCCTCAGGAATTTCATTCCAACAAAGCTTCCCTCCCCCTTTCTTCTCCCCCAACCCCCAGGCTCCTTCCTGCAATTTTTAAGGAAAACAATGCCTATACAAAATTATAAAGTAGGTGAAGATCTTTGGTTTTTGGAAACTTTGAGCAGAACCCTCTCTTCAAATACCCCTTTTTAGCTTATATAATTGCCAAAGACTGGTGCTGTGTGAAGTGGACAGCACCCAAGGAAACAAACACCAAAGCCTTCTCTTCTCCCCCCCCCCCCCCCCGCCCCATTTTAAATACTATTACAATAAACAGTAGCCTAGCTTACTATGTTGTTAAAAGTTCTTGAAAAGGTAGAGATTATACAAGTCACAACTGTGCACTCACTCATTAACAAGTTAAAAGCTTTCTGGAAAAGTACTACCATACCAGCTTGACCAGTTTAAATGCCATCTTCACTACTTCACTAAGAAGTGTGCTATGCACCTCTGACATACTGAAGTGGATTTCCAGTGACCAGTAATTAGGAGATAGTTTACAGTACAGAAAGTAAGCTTCATGACTATGACATGTTTGAAAATTTTAATGTATTTTCTGATCCTCAGGTGATTGTAATGTTAACACCTACTGTTTAACAGAATCTTTAATACTTAAAAAAATCATTATCATTGATAAGATGTACACTGGTTGAATTGGGACAACAATTTTACTCTATTTAAAATGGTTCTGCTTACAGTTAAAACATAACACAATGGGTAGTTAAAAACACCACACAAAAGTTAGAGCAATCCTTATCCCCTTTTTACTGGTTGGTTTCACTGACCAGAAACTACTGCAATTAGCGAAGGAAACTACTGAAAATAAGAACAGAACAAATTAAGGAGTTTTTCCTTCCTTAGCTTTTTCAGGGTACACACCTCAGATTTTTATTGGTTTTAGAGCCATTATGTCAGTTTCCAGAGACCAGGTCTCCCACATAAACTGCATATTGATTTTACATGACTTTGATGGACAGCAGCTTCACAAGTTAGTGGCGCATTCTACTGTATATTCCCTATTTCACATTTTCAAATCCACACGTAAGAATTTTGGTATGCATGGTGTCTTGTTTAAAGTATTCCACTCTAGCCAAAGTGTATGTTATCCACTCTAAACTCAGGATCAGGTACAAGCAAGCCAAAAAGCAAAGCCTTCATGCAGAGAGCTGGTTATATAAGCTTCTAGTAATTGCAGCTAAGACTGGGCAAGGACACAAGCTTCATCCTACACCTCAGACCTCCTGGAGATGGCAGCTAAGTGTGCACAAGCCAGGCTTCTCCAAAGCCCAGATACAAGTCAGGGACTGGTTCTGTTCTCCAATAGTAGCTTTGTGATTTGTCTAACAATCTTGTTCCACTTGCACATCGTATTCTACTAATGTCTTCTACTCTCACCTCTACTGCACCCTTTAATTAGTACTCTATTTTCATGAGCTGATCTCCCCTCTGCTTTGCAGCACTTGGCCTCGAGGAGAACTGTGCATCCAGTAGCCTCCACCTGAAAGTGGAGCACAGCACTTTAACAAAATGCACCACTCAACACATTCAGATCAAAAAAACCCAACACAGCTCCTGAAATACAACCCGCTCTTAAAAATTAATGTTAAGTCGTGCAATAATAAATCTTACTGATCTATTCTCACAAAAAAGTAAGGACAAAAGAATTTCTAAGTAGCTGGAGCATTATTTACTTTCCAGAGGTAAATATGGTATTTGCTGAGCCTTAGCAAGTAGAGCGGTCATCTATTTAGGAAATTTATTTTAAGAATTAAGATGAAAACAAGGGTGAACTGCTCTAAGTGTTGCTGATGTAGGATATATCAGTTGCATTCCTTGACAGCTAAGAGAGGCAGCACAGAGTAACCTTCAGCTTTTGTGAAAACTAACAAAGACATTGGGGGGGGAGGGTAAAGGAAAAGATATTCCACTAAAATTTTTCTGAGGCCTCCCACCATCCACTAGAGCTTCCCTGTTAGAGAAGAATTGCTACTGTATCAGCAGCATTACATCCTAGCATACAGACCCACACCCTCAGCTAGATGTCACAGCAGCAGATTAGCACATAATTTAATAGGTTCAAGAACCACTTAATAACCTGGGGATATAATTTCTGAAATTACTTGGTAGCAGTAACACAGCAACATCCGTTGGGCCTGCAGAGAAACAACATAACAGCTCAGGGGTTGGCTTGGGACAGTTTTCAAAGACACTCACAAATTCACCTTATAGCTACAGAGTCCTCTAGCCGCCTACCACCCCCAGGAAGCCTTTTTTCCACACTGAATTAACAGTGGCAGAGGCCAGAGTCCCAGCTGCACATTCACAGCACTTTAAGTTACTTAAGTGCAAACTACTCCTCCCTCAAAGCAAGCTCTTTCCCTGATCAAGCGGTTTCTCTTGAGTTTTTTCAGACCATTTCCAGTTCTAGACAGAAAGTTTCAGTACAGAAACCATGTTACTGTTACAAACACACAACATTCCCTCTCAGTTTAATTAATATCAGCAAGTAGGACAGAGAAACAAAGCATTTCATTAGGGACTAGGCTCTAGGGAACAAGGTTTTTAACTGACGGTATTTCAAAGCCATACAGTGCAACTCCATTATCCTGTTCAACTTTTGTCAAATTGACTATTTGAGAAGCAGGCAGCTAATGGCACTCAGTGCCAGTTAAGCAGCACACCTGTAACCCAGGGGAAGTTTCAAGCAACCACACTGATTACAGAAAAAATAATTAAATTGAAGTGCACCAGCCCATACAACCTTCTTGCTACTATTTCTCCAACAGAATTGCCAAGCAGTTTTCTTCCCACCATAGTAAGTCTACAATCTCTAATCTTGCCTGTGACCTTGTTTAGAATTTATTTCTATACTGCACAAATCTGATATTAGAAGAATCTTAAACTGGTCCCAGGACAAGTTAACTCCTACTAATGTTTCCTTCAGCAAGCAGACTAGTTGCTAACGCTTTTCACTGGGAGACATTCAGAAACAAGTCAAGTATCACAATGTTTATTGATAAGATACAAGTATATAAAATCAGGGCATGAACATGTCTTGATAAATTAAGTAGACTTAATTTCAATACTATAATAGAGGGACCAATTCAAATTTCTTACCATTTTATGTTTCACACCCACAAAAACCTCTTCCAAAGGGCACTAAACCATCTTTCCAAGCTGATCATTTTTTGTGCAAGTAAACTGTTTCTTTTTTAAAAGACTTGTGCACTTGCCCAGGCTCAAAGATATTAAAACCTAGCACATAAAGCCCATTACTAGAGGTAGAAATACAGGCAATATACTATTACGGCAACAACCATCGATTACAGTTAAGGATTCTCTGTAACAACCAAATGGATAATCAAATATTGCAACAACTCAAGTATTACACTGAGCAAAGTGCATTTCTACAGTATTCAGTGTTGCTATTCAGTTTTCTAACTTAAAAACAGCCTATGATAACTGGCAGCAAAGACGATCCTTGCAATAGACTGCTCCTGCTCGAGAACTTATGATGTAATTATTGCATGCTGCTAATACACTGTTACCTAAACATTAAAGATACTCTAAAATATTTTTATTGTAGACTATTTAAAGACATACTACAAAAACCTTTTGCAGAGGATATCCTACTGACAAACGTCTGCTTTAAATATTGTGAAACATTACAGCGGAATGAATTTTCGCAGTGGTTAGGTCAAATGCAGTTACATCATAGCAACAGTATGTTTGCACAATTTAAGGCTTTGGCTGGTTCTTTAGTCAGCTTCTTCTTCAGATTCTTCTTCTTCAGCAGTTTCCAGCCAGGTTAGCCATTGGTTTACCTGCAGTTACATAACACCAGTTTAAGCTCAGTTTAAAATTGTTTCAGCTATATTTCATATTAGCAAAATTGCAGTTTGTGCTACATATACGCTCTAGCAATGACTCCCAATGCAGAAGAAAAACAACTTGCCTTACTTCTTCCTGGCAAAATACTCAATATAGTTTTATTAATAAGTCATAGAATCATTATGGTGGCGAGTGGACGTTCAAGGTAAGAGTCCAACCAGTCTTTACAGAACATTTTGAATAGTGATCTCTGCCACACTGAAGTGTCTACGGACTACATAGTTTGCTTTCTACTCAAAAGGTAAGCACACTTACCTGGAATAAAGCTTTGCCTTTCCCTGGAAACTCTTGAGTAATATCTTCTTTCCATGCCAAAAAGGCTTCTTCTTCAATGATCTCCATATCATAGAAATGAACAAAGAAGCGTAGTAACATGCCTATGAAAAGAGTTCCATTTCAGTATTCCATCAGCTTTAGAAAAATCTAGCTACATTACACGTTTTAGCTAATATATTAGCATCTCCTGTATGTGCCAAAGCAGCACTGTAAGCTTAGTACTGTGTTTTACTGAGTGAGCCTCCCCCATGTCCCCATACCCCACCAATGAAACTGTTAAGTGCTCACCTTTTGGGAAGTTGTTGTTGTAGCAGTGAACCTGAAGTGCATATAAAGCACTCACTTGCAGATCAACATGGTCATGGAGGAACTTCTGCATTACCGGCTTGAAGGACAGAAGCAGTTGTTTTTCCTGCTCTAGCTGCTCTTTAGAAGGAGCAGATGAAGAATCTGATTCGTCACTAGGTGGGTTTACTTCACTAGAAATATACTGCAGGAAACTGGGGGTGGAGGGAATAGGGAGGAGTAAGAGAGAGAGGGGAAAAAGGAGAAGAGCTAAAAACCTTGTGGAACAACTGGTATGTTGCATCCCATTTAGATAGGATATAAATGCTCCCTCAGTATTTTTTCTTTTCCAAAAGCTTCTTGAGTGAAGCTGAGAGACTTGCACCTCCCCATTAACAGCCACAGTACTGGGCTGTTACCCATCTACAACAGGTTTCATCCCAGTATAAGTCTATACAATCTTGCTCTGCATAAAACTGCATTTCAGCCTTTTAAAATGGTATTACTTCTTATGTTGTAGTTTAAGTAATTTGTGCCTGAGCCACACCAAGTTTCTTACCTGGTCATCAATATATTCACAAATCCTTTATCTACATGAAGTTTGGGTGAAATGTTATCTTTAATCCACTTATAGATGGCTTGAGGGGATGGATCCAACTTTATTTGTTTTAGCAGTTCCTTCTCCAGTTTCAGAAGCGGGAATAAGAAGCTAAGTCCCTTCCCTTCTAAAATCTCCAGCATGCGGTCCTTGTTCTGGTCAATTTCTGAAGAATAAATTAAAATTCAAGTCAAACATGCTCAAGCATCACTGTCAACTGAAACCTAGAAGGTCTGACTGCTAAACTCTAAATTGCATGCACAAAAGTTCAGACTGCTGTACAAAGCCATGTAGTAACTCTTACCTGGTAACATTTTCTGCATATTCACTTTGCTTTGTTGGAACAATTCTGTTAGCCATTCACGATCTTGTAACTTGGCTAACTGTTGAAGGCAAAGCAGGAAGAGAGGGAAATGGGTGCCACTTTCCAGCGGTTGAGCCAGTTCGGAAATGCTCACCAGTTCTGAAATAATAGCACGGGCTGCAAACTGTGCTAAGTAAGATTTCACCAATGGGATGTCCACCTCCAGTTTGGGGCACTGGTCCAATACATTTTGGAATGCCTGAGAAACAGTAAATGCATCAGATTAGCATACCAAGGAACTACTCATGTCGAGTGATATTCTCCCTATATTTGACGGTGCTTTTTGGATGAATTATTTGTCAACAGTTTCTGAAAGTCCAAGCTAAACAGTTCTTCCTTGATCACTTATGCTCCTCACAGCATTATTATGCTGCTTCCACCTCCTTAAATTAACAGACCTTGAAACATTTTCAAAAAAAAGTATCCTCAGAGCTTTACAATTAGGGCTGCCTTTATTCAAAGAAAATATTATGAACAACAGACTGACAAAGATTTTAATACAATGTTAGTTGACTGTGTTACCTGCATGAAGTTGTCACTTGTGGCTATTCCTTCTTGTTTGAGCAGACTGATCAGAGTACTAGCTTTTTCTCTGTCTTCATCTGATCGATCTAGGGACTGAATGACTACTTTGCTCAGCATCTCAGGAATGAAGTGTTTTGGAGCTCTCATTTCTCTCACAGTATTGACAGCATCATTTGCATTTCCATTGTTCAGATATTCAGTCACAACAGCTTCCTGGAAAAAGGAAAAAAGACCCCAAGACTGACTTACTTGTTCTCAAGAGCATACAAAGCATCTAGACACATGGTAGAAACTTACAGTTTGTTTAAGCAGCTCCTCTTTAGAAGGAGGTGGTTTTTTGGTGGTCTTTGCAGGCTTTTCTTGAATAAGTGGTGGATTTGTTTTGAGTCCAAGTTGAGGAGGCTAAAAGACAGAGTTCTGTAAGTTTCTTAGCAGTATATACCTCTAAGATTTCAAAGATATTTCAACTTAGCTGCCTAGATTTCAACAATCTGCCTACATACTCAGATTTACTGTCGTACCTTCATGCTTTACCACCCTCCCACACACACAGACACACTACGCATGTTTCTCCCTACACATACACACACAATGTCCCCCCCAACACACACAAAGAATGGGATCAGATTTTGTCCATATGCAAGAAATAAGCATAGTCAACAATACAATAATGTGTAATTTATAGTTTACCTGTCCCAAAGGTGGTGTCTGAGTGCGTGGTGGTTGTGCACTGGGAGGAATCATAGTTATCTGGGGCTGAAGCTTTGGCACTTGGTTTTTATTCATTAGAAAAGACTGAGCAGGTCTCAGGCTAATCTGTAAACAAACAGAAAAACCTCAAACTGTTTTTCATTATTCTGGCAAAGATTACAGAGCCATGGACTCACACCAACTGCTCCTACTAAACCACATATTTTCAGATTCTACAGTGTTTACAGCCAAGTCCAGGCTAAACCACAGAGGTACTGAAAGGCGCCCCCAAAAGTGCAACGAATTGCAATTTGCTCCAAGTTACTGATTAAATTCAGTCTACATCAAGATCCAGAATTGCTCATTTTAGATGCAGTATGTTAGAGACCCAAGAAGATACATAAGATTTGTTTACTGACATGTTTCATTGCTAAGATAAAGCTCTACCAATTGCTCAGAAATTAAAATACAGAAGTTCACTAACACCTACTCAAAACAATGAGGTTTACTCTGCACCTGAAATTGTGCCTTTCTGACAGTTTGGGTGAAGGGGGTAGGGGGAAAGTTTTTGAACCTGGTCCAGTACTTCAGGCTTTCTAGAGTTTAGGAATCTCTGAAGCTTCAGTTAAATGTATTGTTATCAATATGATGCATGGGAACTGATGTCAGAGTAGTGTTCTTGGGGAAGCGTGGAGGGGAGAAAGGGATACCCCAAGAAATTGCCCTCATATCTCAGTCTTGCTCACAGGACGCTGGATACCCTAAGGAAAGGGAAAAGAGAAGGTGAAAGAAGGGACAAAGAAGGAGAAGTAGGAGGAGGAGAAAGAGTTCCAGCATTAGTCCTCATAATAACGCGTCTTGCTATAATCATTGGGCAATATTGAGAATAGGCTTTAAGTAATGTAGGCATGTAATGTACCTCATCTGCATTAAGCTGTCCTTTCTTAGAAAACCGAGGTGGCATATCCTTCGACTGTCCTTGTTGCTGGGATAAGAGTCCCTGATTCTGGTTATGGTAGAGCTGGCTTTGCCCCTATTTCAGAAAGGGAGATATAGAGAAAGAAGTGCAGATGACGGAGTGGCGTACATCATATGTTAAGTAGTTCCAGAGGGACCAGAGGAACAAAGACTCTATTTGCCAGGAAGGGAGAAAGAAGGAGCAGGGGTGGTGGGAAAGTAGCATCTATCCCTAAACAGGACTACCTTTTAAATAAAACACACCATTCTGACCCACCAAAGTCACATGCACCTTTTCTTGCAGTAAAAAAAAGGTGTCTTCCCTGCACCTCTTGCACAATTTAAGAAATTGTTGAGAATTTTTTTTTCGTATCAGCTGAGCATCAGTTCTTATCAGAACCAAATTTGAGGAAGTTTTTCAATGCAAGCAGACTACAATCCATAACATACGCATCTGTAGAAGAGCTTCTACGTACTTCAGAGTCATTCTATTGACAGTGTCCTTACCTGACTTTTCAGAAAAGATTTGCCTAGGTCTCCAAACTGGGATTGAGCAGAAGGCATGAGGTGACCCCCATGGCCGTTGAAAAGCTGATTTGAACGATGGCGTCCCATGGTGGGTGAAAATCTATCCTGAATAACCCCTGGACCAGTACCAATTCCGCTACCTATAAAGATGACAAAAAGCAGTTTTAGTTCTTGGCTGTTCAGCACAGTACAGCTGGGGGCATTACATCAGCATTGTAGCTTCAGTATACCTGGCATTTGTCCAAACATATCAGCAAGCCCTCCAAGTGGGTCCCTGTCAAGTTTCATCCTGGGTGGCATGAACGGTCCCTCCAGAAAGAAGTCGCTTCTCATCCCTTGAGACATAGGAGCAGGAATAAAGACTCCCAGATCCTTTAAAACAGGAATTAATAGTTTGGGTCAATTCAAAGTAACATATCCTCAAATGCAGATGTTTGGACTGTGTCCTAAGTCCAAGTTATATTAATTTTTAACTATTTACTACATCTCAATTTACATACTGCCACAAGAACAGAACTAGTTACATGTAGAAGTACAGAGAACAGGCTGTGACGTGGATTCACTAGAACAAGAACTCACAACAAGGCTTAAACAGAAACAAAGCTCCATTATTTAAAAAAAAAAATATTTACTTTTACTGCATCTTGACGGATTTGATTGATAGTCTTTGGTCCATTGTCAAGAAAAGCTTTGCGAGGAACCCAGTTGTGTTCTCTCAACTCCACAGTATCCTTTAAGAAAGGCAGTATAATTAAAAAAGGATTCAAGAAACACTTAGAAAACAAAAGTAGTTGAAAATTTTATCTCCATACCTGCAGCAGGAAACGAATCCTTGCTGGCAATTCCTTACTTGACATCAAGGAGCGCATACGGGCAAAGTACTGATCCATTAAGGACTGCGGGAGGGGAAAAAAGACAAAACAAATGATGCTCTTGCATCATGAGTAGCACCGTAAGACACTGTCACATCTGAAACACTGAAAATTATAATGAATAGACTGCCCTCAAAAAAACAAGTCTGTAAGACACCTCCTCCACTGATCTTTTGTGCTATGAAGAAATTTGATGCAGGAACAGTAGTTGGCCCTTTCTAGCTCTTCAAAAAATTGTATTTGGGATTTAAGAACAGAATACAGAAAGCACAGCAAACTAAAACAATAGGTTTAAACTACTTGAAGTAAATGTATCAGATACGCAGATATGAACATACCTTGGCTTTTGCATGGTCTAATCTAGGTCCCACTGTCCTCATTATCTGACAGAGGCACTCCAAATCCTCCCCCATATCTTTGAGCTGGACTCTCTTCTTCTTTTCCAAAAGCTAGAAATTAAGAGGAAATCAGGTACTTTAATAGAGTTTCATACCTGAAGATTAGTCCTATAGAAACACGTTATCACGTCAGTAATCTTACTGATGACAACAGACTTATGATAAACCATTAAATCTCTAGTGCTTAATTTTCAAGTCTGTTGTACTTTAAGTACCTGTAATATTTTTGTCTGGCCACAGTACATCTTCACTTGAAGACAACATCCATGGCTTAAAATAGTACTTTATCAGACCATTTTAAGCAGTTTGTTTTGTTTTTCAGATCAGAAGCATCTTGCAAAAAGCTTATCAAGATGCCTAATATAAGTATTTGCGATTTCTAGTTTCAATTTTTTCCCCCTCTCCTTTCTGGAAAATCTGAATACTTACTGTTTTGATGCACTTATGAAGGATAGATTCATGAATAAGATCAAGCTTGCCAAGTTCTCCAATGAATTTGATGTTCCCCAGCATCTTAATCTTGGCAATGGCTCTCTGTTCCTCCTCCTCGGGGAGGAGGGGACCATCATGCTTATCATAGACTGAAAAATAAAAAAGCCTGTTAAACGTGCCTGTGAAAACAGGAAAAGCAGGTTGTACACTGAAGTGGTTTTAAAACTTACTATCAACATTTCTGGTTCGGTTTTCAAATTCATCTTGAAGTTTAGATATTAAGAGGCGTCTGAAGGTCTGAACAAAAAGAAAACAAAGACAAAAGCAGCAAATCAGTACAACTATCCATGTTAACAGAATTGTTTCAGGTTGAAAGAGAAAGTAGAACACTTACTGTGCTTTGCTTCTGTCCTGGATGACTCTCTGCTGATGGGCCATCAAAGTTGGGTGCATCTTCTGCCAGTCGCAGACATAGTTGAGCATACAGTGAGCTATACTTGGGCTCTTCAAGGGCTTTGTCTACGATCTAAAAGAAGGTTGTTTCATTAACGCAGTGAAAAATACCATTCTATATGAACAATTTTTTTTTCCTATTCTGTTATTTCAATACAGAAATAAAGGGTTTTCAGAAGCAACACATCTGTCAAAATTCTTAACATGCTGCATGATGCAGGATAAAAAGCTCCTCTGAGTTACCGAAGAGCTATAACTTTTAATCAATGAAAAGAACAGTTTAAATTGACTACCACAGCATCCAAGACCAATAATCAAACCAAACTGATCTCAGAAAATAAAGTTACAATTATAACCTGTATATGAAGAGATCAGTGGTTGTTTTCAAAAAAAAAGTGGATGGGAACAGAAGAAAAATAAAAACTAAATGTTCCAAGAAAGAGAAAAAAAAAATCATGTTGACTAATGCAACGTTTAAAAGTGTTTCTCCTTTCCCCCCCATATACTCCACTTATACAGCAAAAAATACTGATATTCTGCTATTTGTTTGGATCAGACATTGAATAAGCTACTAGATTTCAGTGCCCCACACAAAAATAGCAAACCTCTACTCTATGAGCATATAAAGAGAACTATAATAAAGCTGAAAACAAACAAAATCCACACATGCACCTCAGAACACACAGAGCCAGCTTACCAGCAGTATGACCCCTTTTAGGATGAGCTTAGACTCTACACCCACATTGAGGAGCTCAAGGCATAGCTTGTCAAACTTTTCAGGAGTAAGCTTATTTAGTATGCTAAATAAACAAGAAAGAAACAGTGCATTACAAATCTTGCAAATATGACAGAAGTACTTTTAGTTAGGACTTTTTTTTAACCAACTATAGAAATAAAAGGCTGCATTTAAAGTGTTATCTTGCAGAAAATGAATCCCCTCAAAAAAAGAAAAAAACAAAAGGCTTAAGGTGCACACCAAGTGTTTGCTACTGCAGGCCCAACAGTGTCTTGTTCCAACTCACTCGAAAGAAAGGAACTCCCTTCACGTTTTCCTCTCATATTCATAAAGGAAATGAATCCACAGAGAGCTTACCCTCTTACTTTCCTGAAGATTGCATCATGTCGTTCTTTGTCATTTGCGGAGTCGTCATCTCGTCTAGTGCTTCGTGAAGGAATCCATTTCTGAGCGTTTTGCCCTGGGGTTTTCCCCAGGAACTCGCTGTAAAGTTTTGAAAACAGTTTGCTTAAACCACCAAGCTATTTCAAGAACTGTCATTTTTCACCTTTCAGTACTGTGTTGCACTAATTCCATTACTACTTTTGGAAACATCACATTTGGAAACACTGCCTTGACAACAATGAAACATCAATTACACAGCAAAATATTCACTGAACAGTTAGAGAAAAAAGCCTAGCACACACACAAAAACAAAATCCTCTTTAAAGCTCAGAAAATAAATGCTCAAATCAAGAACCCTGTACAACTAACACCATTACAGAAAAAAAAATTGGATAGCCCAAGTTAATTTATTCTTATTACCAACTTAGGAAGCATTTTTTTTTTGTATGAATGTAATGAAATGAACATATCTTGAACTCAAGATTTACTATGATGCAGTCTCTCTCAAGAGTGTATTATTAAAAGATTAAAATACCTGTTGCTGGCAGTCTTGGGATAGTGCTGAGGCGCACCCCTACCACCTCCTCCGCCCGAAGAAGCACTGTTAAAACAATCAGGGATTTTTGCATAAGTTCAAAATCACAGCATTATCAATTACGTGTCATTATTGATCTAATAACTTATAACTTAATAAAGACAGTTTCCACTATCAAATGAGAATCAAACCTAGAAAGCCCTAGTACCTGAAACGAGAAGCACCCCCTTCTGCAATCGCACTCTCCACTTTGGCGGCTTGACAACGAAGAATCTTCAAAAGAATAAAATTAAATTGACGGGGTGGGGAAAAACAAAACCTAGAAAGACAAATCAAGTATTCATATTACAGACGTTTAACTAGCAACTGGAGCATTTCACTTAAAGCATTTACCCATAAATACAGACACAACAAATACTTGTTAGAGAAAGAAGCTGATATCAAATATTCAATTTAAAAGAACATTCTTGTTTAATACTCCGGATACCAGAAGAAAGGCCAAATCAATCATCACTACCATATTTTTCCAAAGCTTTAAAGAGGTGGAGGAGAGGAGAACAAATAGACTAAGACCAAGAAAAGCCTTAACAAGCTTTCTCCTATGTCAATCCCTAGATGGTAGAATGTTGCATTCAGCAACATTTCCATTATTTTTCATGGCCAACTATTTCTGTGCTTGCACAGAGTAACAAAATTAATCTTCCACTGATATACTTAATTACAACATTTAGCACACTATCGATTTGAAGGTGAAGAGCATCAAAATACAAAGCGTTAGCTTAATACAGTGGAAAGGTCGTACTGTCCATGAGAAACAAGCAGTTACGCTACTACAATTACATAAGAGAAACAATTCCTCCGCACTCTGGGTTTATCTTGCACGATGATTAAGGGGGAAAAAAAAAAGGCAATCCGTGCAGCAGCGTCATGAAAAAACAGGTACAGCGCCAAAGTCGCCAGAGGTTTTAAGGGCGGCTGCGCTCCGAGGCGCCATGAGGGCCGCCGCCATCTCGCGGCCGCCGCGGCCCTCCGCGCCGCCAGCCCACGCCGCGGCGGCGGGAGCGCCGCGGGCACGAGGAGCGGCGCCCAACATGGCGGCGGCCGCCGCCGCCGAACAAAAGGGCTGCGGGAGCGGGCGGAGCGCAGCGGCGCCCCCCGCCGGGCGCAGCCGCTCCGCTGCCGCATGCGGCCGCCGCCGCCCCCCCCTTCCTCCGCGCCGGGCGCCGCCCGTCTCCAGGCTCAGCCGCCGCCAGGGGCCCGGCCGCCTCTTTGTTCTCTCGCCGGGCTCCGCTCCGCCGCCCGCGACGGCTCGCCGGGGAAGGCAAACGGCGGCCGGCGCCTCCGCGCGGCAGCGGGCGAAGAGGGCGGGCGCCTGCCGGCGGGGAGGCGGCTCTGCTCCCCCCTGCCTCTCACGAGGCACAGGAAAAGGCCATAAAAATAATTAAAAAGGTAAAAATAATTAAAAAAAAACTACCCTCGCCCACCACCCTGAGATAAAGAGGTGCAGTCCCTCTCTCCGGGCAATGTGGATCCCGAAGGAGGGGGCCGCAGGCGGCCTCGTGTCCCCAACTGACTCCCCGAGAAGCCTCAGGGGCGCCCTTGGAGGCGACCCACGGCGGATCCGCCGTTCCCCCGGGAGGATCTGCGAAGCGGCCCTAACGGTCGCCGTTTTCCTCGCCGCCCATCAGCGGTTCCAACCGCGAACGCCGCTGCCTGGGGGCTGCAACCGCCTTTGCCCGCTCTGCTCCGCGGGCGCCGTGATCCGAGTCCAGGCAGCGGCAGCCGCCATCGACTCGAGCCGCCATTTTGTGCGGCAGAAAGCAAGAAGCCGGCGATAAAATGGCGGACACTTCGGGGAGCCGCCATTTTAAGCAGCGGCTGCAGTGCTACCGCTCTCCCTCTCCTCCTTCCCTCCCCTCCGACAACCGACAGCCCCGGAGCGGTCAACTCCGGCCGCAACGTCCTCACCTTCCCTAAGGCCTTGTCAGCTTCCCCGGGTCCCGGCAGCTATAAGGGCAGGGGAAAAGGCAAGGGGAGGGGGAAGGGGAAGGGAGCCGGGGAGCGGGGCTGGGGAGGGGAAGGGGGGAGCGCGCGAGGCAGGGCGAGTCTCCGAGTCACCACGGCAGGAGCAGCGGCCTCCCAGCGCTTCCCTCCGCCACCTCCATAGAGAGCCGACCCGCCGCCGCGTCTAACGCGCACGGAGGCCGCTCCACTAACTTTATTGCCCTTCCCGCAACCTACCCCGCTCCCTCCAACCGCCGCCAATCGTCGCTGAGGGCTCCGCCCGTCCCGCCAATCGCCGCCGAAGAAAGGGGTGGTGCTAACGCAGAAGTGGGAGGAGGGACGGCGCAAGGTTGGTTGAGCGGTACCACCGCCGCAGTGCAGCAATCGTATTCACGAAAGCGGTTACGCCATGTGGCTGGCGAGAGAACCTAAGGGGGAAGGGAAACCTGCGCAAGCGGCGTATTCAGTCAGCAGGGACAGCTTGGCTGCGTCTTTGCTGCGCTGTTTGTTCCTGTGCTTCAACGGTTACAGAGCCCCAGTTCTAGAGGCCCAAAGTTATTCTGTGTGAGTTGCAGTTGATTCTAGCACGTTCACAGCGAGGACATCTTTAAATATATGTGTGTGTAGTGTGTTTTTTTTTTTTAACTGAGATTTTACTTCCCTGTGACCACGTTTCAGATGTGGTTGGGGCTGTGGTAAAATGTTATCTGACTGCAGACTGCGGCCCTGGGCTTGCAATCAGATCCGAAGGAAGAGGCTTGCCATTTGAGATCCCAGAGCACGGTTCTGTGGATCCGATTTCAGGTTTGCTTTCTGCCTTTGGAAGCGATCGGTGTTTCTGCATGTGCTTTTAGCTGTGAACTCTCCTATCTGTGGCTGGGCACCTGCAAACACAACCAGGCTGCCTGAACCTAAGCGCCATTTCTAGGTGTTTGTTGTGGTAAACAAAGCAGCTGGTGCTGGGGTGTTTTTTATTACTTTTTTTTTTTTTTTTTTCCTCCAGTTAAAGAAAACTGAAGGTGGAAATTTGAGTCATGGAACACTTCCCAGGAGTTAACGGCTATGAAATTTAAGGGTTGTGTCCCAGTCCTGGATTGTGACTGAGGGAGCAACTACATGGCTTTTCTAAAGAATTAGCTATATTTATCTTAGGTATGACAAGACAAAAAAAAACAACCAACTAAACAAGAGCAAAGTAAATCTGACAACAGATCCCCACAAACATCCACATCTGCTTTGTTCACACGTATACACCTTCCACTTTCGGTTCTCATGACTCATAACTCAGATGGCTGCGAGAAAGTGGTACATATGCTAACTCTTGAACTGATCAGTTGGCAAAGTTAAACAAATGGTATTACAGACCTTGCAGTTTCCCAGAGCCAGTCTCATTCCTCATGCTTTCAACACAATGTGTCACTATGTCCCAGAAGTTATATAAGGCCTAACGGGTGCTTTCCTATACAACTTCTTATTTTTTTTTATCTAGGATGAAATTTATTCAAGGTGGGTTTGCCTATCTCATACACATAAGCATTGAAGAGAGTTACCTATCAGTTAAGTAGTAAGCAGAATTTACTTAGATGTATGGAAAATCATGAACAAACTCTGGGAGTAAGTTCTGAGCATACACTTTGAGAACCCCATTGCAATCAGTGGAATTCAGTTTGAAAGAAGAGATGTAACAAAAATGCGAACGCAAAAATGCACAGATGTAACAAAAATGTGAACAAGATTTAGAGCAATATTAAAACCAGATTATATTTTTCAAATAAATATTCTGAAAATGGTAATAAAAATACTTTTAAGCTTTAAAAACTGTCATGAAAACAAGGTTTTGTTTTGCTTTTGATGGCAGAATGTTTTCCTGCGGCGTTCCCTGGATAAGTATTTCCAGTCCAGGATATGCAGAGACCCCCACAAATGAAAATAACGGAGAATTTCTCTCATAAACTTGTTTTGGAAGAGGATGGAAAACCTTCAAAGCATGGTAAGTGCATATTAACAGACTAAAATATCACCGTTTATTTGCTTATTTTGGAGTACACTATAAATATTTATGACTATAGCAGCAGAAAAAAATAAACTAGATTTGTTTGATAAGAAAGTGATAGCAAATTATCATTGTTTTACTAAAATTGTGATTGTTTGTTCAGGTCTCAGTCCTGGAAACATGTGTGCTAGGTTTAAGTCTCATTCAGATCAGCAGGATATATACTATTTCATAGTTCACAGTGCTTTGGCAGGTGGGAACCTGAGAGGTTCTTGCCATTGGCTTTCTTTCACATCTGTGCCACTCATTGCCCGCTTCATACACTACCTTGCACAGGAGATGAAGGCAATGAATAATAGCACAAAGGACAAAAAAAAAAAAAAAAGGCCTTATACCTCTTACGTCTTAAATTTCATAAATTAATAAGGAAGACACACTCCTTGACTCCATGAAAAAAACAGTTCAGTAGCTGTCAGTTTCATTAGCAACTTTCACCCATTATTAGCCTTACCTCACTTATTCTCCATTAAATTTTTTTGCACTGTATATTCTCGCTTTCTGCCTGCCGTTTATCTTAAACATAAGTGATGCTTTAATTCAAAGCACCTGGATTACTATTGACATAGTGATGTTTCTGGATTTCAGTCTGAAATCTGTGTCTGAAATCTGTATAATTTCAGACTGTGCACTGTCTGATATTATTACGCAATTTATATGTACACTGTCACTAGTAATGCAGAGGAGAGAGTATGTCTTTAAAGAAATGCAATGAGAAACCTTCTGTGTTGCAGGCTGCATGGCACAGAACCAGAGGCAGCATCTGACTGAGAGGAAAGGGAGTGTCTCTTGCCGTGCATGTGGTCTACCTCAGATCCCAGTACGGCTGCTGTCATCTACCAACACAACCCACAAAAGGTAGAGAAGGAGCTTTCCAAAACTGCCAAGTTCCTTGCTCCTGTCAAGTTTGCATCACCTCGGTTTATCCTCTGTAGTAGATTGCCTTGCAATGATTACAGAGCTGAGTGCTGCCGGGTGGAGATTGTAGCCTGAGTCCTGATAACAGGGTAGCTGCAGCAGTGTGGTACTGTGCCATCTCCAGGCAACACCGGATCTCACCACTGTGCTCATGTTGCTGTACTGGTTCTGGGTCTGGCCAGGCTGGCTTTTAGTCAGAGTGCCCCACTATGTAGTATAGATGTAGTATGAGCCGAAGCATACATATAGAGAATTAGTATGGCATAGCTATTTTATTGAAAATTCACTCCCTGTTTTGTGCCTGTTTTCCTATTATGGCTGCTTTCATATCAAGCTGCTTTTCTGTTTTCCTTTTCCTCTGACCCTAACTCTTCTCCAAGATGATTTATAGTTACTGATCCAGTAATGAAGAAGCTAGCACCAGCATTTTAACCAAATATATACTTTTTCTTACAATAAAAGTCTGTCCGAAGCACACCTTTCATGTAGAAGGATGGATAAGAAACAAAGTAATCTATTTTTTTCATTTTTAAATAACTTATTTTCTGTGCTTCTACTGAAAGGGAATGCAGTGACACTTGGAAAACACATTTATCTGGTGCTGATGCACTGTTGCTGTTATTTGATTTGTGTTTGAGAAAAATGCACCAACACATGTAATACAGTGCTTAGATTGTACAGTATGGCAGAGATGAACTTGAGGTGCTTTATAAAGCATCATGGTTATTCCCTATAGTATTATATTTTGAAACTTACTGGCATATATTTCTTTTTTGAAAGCATCTTCTGTGATGACCTTTAGTGATATAGTTAAATACTTATCACTGGTAAATACTATCACTTATCATATAGTTAAATACTTATCAGAGGTAATAGCATTTAAATCCTTCTGAAACAGTGCTGCAGTTTAGTTTTCTAACCCCTGAAGTGGGAAGTCACTTCTCCACTTTTCTTTTTTTTTTTTTTTTTTTTGGAAAATAATTGCTAGTAGGTTTAAGTGGATCTTGGGACTATTAAAACCAGTGATTTTGCTTTGATCCAGTTGTCTTTGGAAATGCTGTTCTGTATACTTTAACTCAGCCTCTGGAATTCCTGCTGCTCGGAACCAGATCTTCATAGTCTGTCAGGTATATTTGAAGAATTTTTCTTCATAATTCTCTGTTTCAGGCCCCAGAAACTCGCTAGTCTTTCTTGAGTCTAACAGTCTAGTAGTTAAAATTGTCTGGATTCTCATGGTTGTTCTCTGTAAGAAATTTTGGAAAGATACTTAGGGTGTGAACTTATATGAGCCAGTGAAAACTAGCTGTAGACTACTAAGGTGTCAAAGATACTGATACTCTGTCTGTAAATGTTTATTCAGGCAACTAAAGAATGTGAGGCAATGTCTATAACAGTCCAGCTTGCTTTGCTTTCACAGTCCTGTTTAGAATGATGACTATTCAGAGCCAATATAATTCTTCTAATGGAAAAGTGTTATAATATTCAAAGACAAAAGTTGCATGTGTTCGTGTGTGTTGACAGAATGGTCTGGGAAAAAAATAGCAACTGCCTCCTCAGGAGGTCTAGTTCAAAGAAACATGTAAGCTACAAAATTCTTATGTCCTCTAGTGTTTCAAAGTGACAGGTTTGTCCATGCTTTGCAGGATCCGCATAGACTGCTGTTCTGTTTCTGACATCAGCTAGCACCAGCTTTAAAATCAGGTAAGATGGCATTGTAATTTATCATTTTCGTTAATTGTAAAGGAGAGAACATTTCTTTCTCTTAATAATTGCCAGTTAATCTTTAAATTACCTAAAAATATTTATCATTTGTACATTTATTAGTTATTACTGTTATAATTTTCTCTTTTGATGTCTAAATTTGACATCAGATTTATGCACCTGAAATACCATGTTACAATGAGTTTTATAATTTAGTTGTAAAATGTTCAAAAAGTAATAATCCTTGTATCAGATTTAAAATGTGTTGCCTTAATTCTATTCTAATTTGTTTGCTTAAGTGGTTTTATGGTAGTTTACTTATCATAAACAACGAAGTAGCTGATAAATGATGGCTCATTGAGCTGAAAGAGTGTGTGTCCTGTATTGCACAGCATAATTCCATTATTTATAGAAATACATTGTTGCTGAATACTGAATTGTAGGTAGGAAGTTACTATTAATAAAATGCTACATTTTGTGCTACAAATGTATATATATATATTTTTTTGTGATACACCAAAAATGCTGTGTCACAGCTTGTTTGTGGAGGTGTATCTAGGCAGTGCTAGGAATACCACACAGAGCATATATATACTATCAGTTGCTTGTAGGGAAGATTTTTTGTAGGATATGTTTAGCTACTTTTTGCTATTTACATTTCCTTTGACAGAAATGTAGCATGACTTCTTACAAATTAAATTGGTGTATATATATAATAGTTATCAGTAAATGTTTAACATTAGTACAGTTTACAATAATGACAGACAATGGCATTAATGTTCTATTAAGTTTCTATAAGGACTAGATTTTCTCCAAACTCCATCTGGCCTAGGACAAAGAAAATCTGTATAGCATTTTTAGTCATCAAGAAGAAGTAAATACACAGGAAATCAGTTTTTATAACTAATGGTTATGGATGTAGGTTAACCTTTTTGAAGTCAACGAAATCCTTCTGTTTTACATAGTTAGCTATGAGAGAACTTCAAGATCTTCCCATGCAATAATAAAAATGATTATTACTTGCTGTATGTATCACTTGCATTTTTAAATAGGTTCAAGAATATTAGACCGCTAGCTTACAGTAGACAGCATTTTCATTGCTTGACCTGTGGTTCCATGTGTTATATACAGACTGCTATATTAAAATTATATCCAGCTTATGTTAAAATTGTGTTTTATTTCTGTAGAATATTTTCTTATTGGATTTTTTAATTCTTTAATCTATTTAAAGTAAATGCATCTGCTCATTGAAATAACATTTTCCCCCTGTTTCAATGAAATGGTTCGGGTTCTGAAAGCATTGAAAGAAGGTCCTTTTCCCATTCAGATGAAAACTGTTGCTTATATCCCATGTGAGAAGATAAAAGAACTAAAAGTATTGCAAGAATGGGACCCAAACCAGGTCCCACATTTGAACACCCACAAATGTTAAGAAAGAACTAGATCATATACTGAACCTAGCTTTTATTAACTAGCTGATATTTCTGTCTTCATGTGGAATGGACTTATGGTATATAGCAAATTTTACTTAAAAAAACACGGTGCTATTTCTCTGTATTCTCTCCTGTGCAATTTTGAGTAAAAAAAAAGGTCTGAAAAGAGATGATTATGAAGAGTTGATTCCGTAGCCATTTCTGAGCCAGTGCAATGTTGTATTAGAAATGAATTTCACTCAGCACCTTATCCGTATTATATAATTTACTGACTGTCATCCACTCATTTATTGACTTTATTGAATCATCAAATGCAGCAGCACTCAGAGAAGTATATGAGAGTAAAATGACAGGGTATTTGCTTGCTTGCTTAAAGTGAAGCTGTTTCAAACAACCCAACTCTGATTTTTAATGTAGGTCTATTACAAGATAGCCATTTTATTACTCCTTTTTATCCTTTTAACAAAAATAGTAAAGCATTGGAAAACAAGTTACAAAAAGCAGTTTTTGTATGTGAACAATTTCCTCTATTGTGATAGTGGGTCTCTTTCCAGGGTTTCACAGGCTTTATAGGGTTTCACAAGATACAAGCCTTTATTGAGACTGAGGTATTTCAACAAAAAAACCCATCCTTGTTCGTACTTCAAAATTTCATCAGTCGTGAAGCAGATGATCCTTCTTGCTTTTCAAGGTGTCGTCTAATTGATGTGTTTGAGATAAGAATCAGAAAAAAACTAAGTCTTCAGGGTTCTTTGAAAATGCAGAGTGTCATTACAATATTTATGTTTCCAGATGTGAATTCATATCCAGAATATTCTCTGTTTATTACAGCTGCCTAAATTTCATCTCATAGGTAATTTTTAGCAAACTCTGTAAATTTTGTTAAGAAGTATTGTTTTCTTTGGGCCTTCGTCAGCTCTCCACGGAAAGAGAAAAAGCACTTCAATATATGTAATTGAGGCCAGTAAGATCTCAGAATCAATGAACTCCAGGATTCAAATGGTGCTTTTGCAGCAAGAAATTTTGCTGCATTGTCAATGAAAAAACTTCTCATCTTAGAAATCTCACTCCTCAGTCTTGCTAGAGCTGATATTAAAAGGGTTGTCAACGATGTTTCAAACCGTTCTTTCCTTTTACAAGAAGCTGTCACTACTGCTGTCCCTTCTCAGAATTGCTGTCACTCAGCACTTGAAGGGGCATCACTAGTAGCTGCAACTAGGGTCGTCTGGCAGAATCCCTTTCTGAGAATGCTGCTGGCCTCCTTTAGATGTTGATGATCTAGACTCTTATGATGCCTCTTCCACTGTATGATATTATAACCTAGTGACTAACAGATGTATCATTGAATAGGTAACAGATGTGATAGTTGTTTCTTCTGTTCAGTCTGTTATAGTACTGTATTTACTTGCATGGAGTGGTTTTTTGTAAGAGGAAGAGTTCACAGAAATTCACTTAAAAGGACAACACCTTGTCTCGCAGCCAGGATATGCCTGAGGGATGATACACAACACAGAGAGGGATGGATGTTTCCTGCTTACAATGAGAGAGCAGAGCCCTTCTGCTTTTACCTCAATTTCAAGTATGGATTCTTAAGACTGTGAACACAGATCTCCAAATCTGCAAGCAAAAGCACATAGTGTATACGTATCAACTAGAATGGCTTTTTTGTTACTCATTTGAAGAATTTGTGTAGAGCTTGTAATTACTATTTTTTGAAAGGGATTTTAGAAATAGGTAATGAATGCAAGGTTTGTGGAGTGGATCGTAATGAAAGGCAAAAGGGAAGATCGCTTAAAGCAGTGCACACCATACTGACCTCTAATTGAAGAAAGAGGGGCATTACTGGCTTGTTGTATGATGCAGTGAGTGGAATTTAAATTGCTTGATGGACTTTAATATTAGCCCAAAATAAAACAATATTTTGTGAGATGTGGCATATATGTGTATTATAATATTTTATCAGAGTTATTAGAGTATACTTGAGTATTTGCTGGTGAATAGTTTTGGTAAAAAGACACAGAAAATTGTAAAACAGGAATGTAAAAAGCTGACATGTCTTAAATGAGAATCTTCTTTGTGCCTTTTCCACACTAGAGAAACCGTAAGGAGCCAGGATTTCTGGGCCTTGGTTGGGATTGTAAACTATTTTGGTTTCCTGCACAGCATGAAGCATTAGAGACTGTCAAACACAAGATAACCTGTTACATACCCAGTAAGATAATAGTGTCTTCTTATGCAGGGACAACTAACTCAGCAGTGGTTCTTAATGCTAATTAAATTTTTCTATTTGCAGTTGATAAATATTATCAATTAGTATCTGACAATTTCTTTTTATAAGAAAGTTACTGATTAAATTACTCTGGTATTCTACCTTTTTTGTCAAGTTCTTCAGGTTCCACTGCAAGTTATTGGCAAGTGAATGGAAGATTTATCCTGCATCTGAATTTCAGTATGTTAAATGTTCAGTATGAATCAATCACTGAATGTGTCAGCTCAACATGAGGCAAAATAGATTTGTTAGCAAGTGTCATATGTAAATATGTTTATAAATACTCCTTGCAATTCAAAGTAGATTGTTTTGCAATTGGTAGCAGCTCTCGAATGGTTTTAAACTGATAGTGATGTGGAGATATGAAACTGGGTTGTGGAGTACATGACTTTCATAATGAATCAAGACTTCAAACTTCATACTTTTTTTGTGAAATGGCAAAAGCAATTAACATAAATGAGATCAATGCTCGAATTCCAGAAGCATGTTACAGTCAAATTAATAGCTTCAGCTATTATTTCTTATGATATAGGAAAAAAAGTAAAACTTGAATTGTGTATTTCTGGTAGTAGGATAGGTGCAAATATCACCGTGTTGTCCCAAACAAGGGAAATAGAGGAAGGAGATTATTTCTCACTTAGAGGTTTCTACTGAACTTGTTCCTTTTGGGAAAATCTGTGAAATCACTGTTAGTAACCCAGGGACAAGTCTGTGTGCCCAGTTCCTTTACATTTTTTTTTTTTCAATTAGGTTTTTTATATTGGCCACATGGATTTCCTTAATGACAGATATTTTGAGAATCTGCAATAGAGATGGCTCACTGCACTTTTTGCACATCTCAGAATTGTAGATGTGTGCAAGAGGTTTAGGAATAACTTATTTCATCCCAGCCCATCTATTTCCTATTGACAGATCCTCATAAACAGAAAGTATTCTTTGAGGGATATGTACCAATAAATAGTGTATTCTTTGAGGGATATGTACCAATAAATAGTATTGCCTCCTAGTTCCTTTAACATATAGCTGATATGGTAGTTGATACAACTATTAGAGATACGTAAATTAGTATATTACAGAAAATACTATAATGAAAGTACTATAATTTAAGTTTCAATAAATTAATGCAGGCTGATATTTTTACTGTGGTTTATATGTCAAAATCCTCACTTGCATGTCCTTCATTTTATCTGCTTGTGTCTTCTTATATATTTGTGTAATTTCAATCACTTTAAATTCCTATTGCATGAAGATCTT